AAATCTATCTATGTGGTCACTAGGAGTCAAAAATGACTTGATGGCACATACCAACCAACCAAACAATCAATATAAAAGTAATTTCTGGACTTGGCAGCCATGTAGAGCTCACCTTATTCATGGTAGTTTCCAATCTCTGCTACTGCAAAATGAATCTTTAATCAAGATAACAGGATAATGTCATCATAGATGCAAAGCTTGAGCTACATGTGTACAGAGAACCAGTATGGACATAGTGTCAGGCTAAGGCCAATAAAGATACAAGGAAGAAATTACACATGTAACACACATACTGAGAACTAACATTGTCAGTAATTTAAGGGACACCAGGAAAATGGAGTGCAGTTTCTAAAAGTTTTATGCCCAACTATCCTTGCAACATTGTTGAAAGCTGTGAGATAAAAAGCCTTGAGATAAAACAAATCTGTGTTTAGTAACTGATGCTTCTTTCTATCATTTTCTGCAGCTTTTTCCCATGTCTAATTCAATGCTGCAGAAAGATAATCATATGGAACATTTGGAATAATTGCTCTCTGGGTAAACCATTATGTGATTTGCCAGAATATTTTCCTTTAGTTTAGAAATTATAAAACTTTAAATATGTTAACTAAACCTGATAAATCCCATACAGAGAATACAATATGTAAACTTAATAACTCAGTCTTTATAGTCCTACATCATCAATGTCTGCGTGGAAGGGGCAAGCAATGAAATGTGCATTATGACACATACCCTATGACTTGCATACCTGCATCTGATAATAAGCACAAAAGATTAAGATTTGTTGTGGCAGTACAACAGATGTTACATCATTTTTGCATCATCGTAGCTTGTACTAGATGCCTGTGTTCCCCACATTGTTTCTTGCTGTGTAATACAGGTGATTCAATTCTCATACGTAATCTGAACTTCTCTGGAGTAATCAAAGAAACTATTGGTAATTAGAATTGAATTTTGGTTTGTATCCTGTATTCACAGGCTCAGGCTGTCAGTGACTTGTCTTCATCCTCTATGTACTTTGCAAATGTTTTATTAGGTGTATGTATGTATGTATGTATGTATGTATGTATGTATGATCTTACATATGCATTTACTATAGGAAAGTTGTAGAAAAATCAGATAATTTTAA